TTTTTTACAAGATTGTTTCTATTTTAAAATTTTGGCTGTAGGGGTATGCGTATAAGTTAAAATATGTTGAGTACTAAGGACCTTCGAACTGTTGGTTAACCGACACTCTCCCCGCAGTAATTGCCTTCTGAGTTTGATCCACTGTGTACATGGCGACTATGAAGAGGGTTACAGCCTACTCTGTACACATACGCTCCAACACTTCCTGGACAGGTATCTGTTGTGTACCAGTACCTGGTGTACCTGTCATCCGTCACACGTTTGTGTGTCCATTGTCCTACAGAGACCTGTTTAGGACAGCCATGAGGATGTGACACTATAACGGTCAACTTGTCCTCATCAACAACTCTCCAGTATTTTTTCTCCACTTCCCTACATAGATAATCAAAGCGTCGACACTTCATGTCCAGTTCATCTATCAACTCTAAGTCACATGTCACATAACTCAACTGACACAAGTCTCCCTCAATGTTTGCCTCACCCACCACCTCCCAGCCATCAAGACTGACTACTGGACTTTTATTGTAATCAAAACCTAAAACACATCTGGTCTGTCTCGCCTCACTGGCATCAAATACTATTATTGTGGCTGTGTCCAAGAAAATCTTTCCCCACACCTTACTGGGCGTGCCAGAGGTTTGACACTTGCCACAACGACAAGTTCCGTCACTCTCTGTGTACTTGTCCACACTCCACACCCTCCCCGTCCCTAACCTCATTATGTAACTTCCTCTGTCATTATAACATGGATATAGAACTTGAGAATCCGGGTAAAACTCTGGTCTCTCTAGACTGGTGAATGTAGTCTTTACCTGGACAGTTAGGGCTGCCAATGTTTTGATTGTCTTAAACATGAGCTCGTCCTCACAGTAACGTGAGGGAAATCTGTAAGAGGTATAAAACCTTTGTGACCTGGATTCTTCTTAAAGCCAGTAACATTTTTGTGTAGATCAGCTATTCCCCCAGAGACAAGCATCGGAGCGTTATGATTTCCTACAAAAACAACGTTTAAAACTTAGTAAATATATTATTTCATTTTAAAATTTATTGATATTGTTTATTGGACACAAAAGGCATAATGTGGTTATTAATCGTTTTGTTTTATTGTGTCAATGGTTGGATTGGTGATAAAGAGCAAAGTTATATACAATTGCTAGGGATTTTTCTTTATTACTTTTGTATTTTTGTTGTTATTTTGAGTGATTGGATGAATAGTTTGATAAAAGTTGAGAAAATATTACACATTTCTTTCAAATATTCGGATGTGTATAATACAAACACATAATACTCTGCAATAATGTTGTTTGGTCATTCATAAATGAAGGCACACTTATAGAGGACGTAGGTGTGTTAGGAATTTTTAATCGATGTGACCTAGGCCTTGGAACGTGAGGTAACTCATTTGCATTTAATAAACAATGTTTGAAATTTACGGTTAATAGGTATTTAACATTTTCAAAAAATGTTTGCTAATTGTAGTAAATACTTATTTAATACTTATTAATACATATAATTTTGATCCAACTCATTTAGATTTGAAAATGAAACGGCTGTAAACAATTACGGGAGGGTAGGTAGCCTAAAGTTTTGACGCCATTAAAGGAATGGGTCTGAGTATTGTGACGATGTGGAGGCAGTATTTCTTCCAGTTATTTTTCCGGGGGGGGGGGGGGGGGGGGCACTTGATATTTTCGGGGGGAGGGGGAGGGGAGGAGGGCAACACTGACATTGACACTGGTAAAAGTATATGTTTTCTATATAAATTCCATTTCGTTTGCCTGGAAGAAAATCTGTGTGGAAGTGGATGGTGAGGTGATGTCGTCTTATGATGATCCATATTTATAATTTCCAAAAGCATTAAAGCTATGTCGTAAAACCAGATTCGCCTTTTAACATCATTTTACAATGTATTCAATAACGTAGATATTTTCGAAAATGATGACAAAAACGCGATTTGTTTGTGGCTAGATAAACGTTCCTTAAACTTCATCAATATATTTATAATCACAAAATAAACATTTTAGATGTACTGTAACTGCCTAATGCCAGCCAGACAGTCGGTCAGTCAGTCAGTCAGTCAGACAGACAGACAGACAGACAGACAGACAGACAGACAGACAGACAGACAGACAGACAGAAAGACAGACAGACAGACAGACAGACAGACAGACAGACAGAAAGACAGACAGACAGACAGACAGACAGACAGACAGACAGACAGACAGACAGACAGACAGACAGACAGACAGACAGACAGACAGACAGACAGACAGACAGACAGACAGACAGACAGACAGACAGACAGACAGACAGACAGACAGACAGACAGACAGACAGACAGACAGACAGACAGACAGACAGACAGACAGACAGACAGACAGACAGACAGACAGACAGACAGACAGACAGACAGACAGACAGACAGACAGACAGACAGACAGACAGACAGACAGACAGACAGACAGACAGACAGACAGACAGACAGACAGACAGACAGACAGACCAGACAGACAGAAAAACAGACATATATATATATATATATATATATATATATATATATATATATATATATATATATAGAGAGAGAGAGAGAGAGAGAGAGAGAGAGAGAGAGAGAGAGAGAGAGAGAGAGGGGGGGGGGGGGGAGAGAGAGAGAAATTAGATAGATAGAGAGAGATAAATGTATACATAGACATGCCTTGTTCACTTGTAAGTATGTGTATACGTATCTGTGTATGTATTTAAATATATCTTATTTAAGTTTTAAAATGTTTTTGTCTGTCTGTATTTCTGTTATGCACTATTATGCACATCTTTATTTGGCGGTCGCTTGGTGCGCAATTCTTTTTTATATGAAATTCTATTCTATTTTTAAAAGTTTAAGTAATTAAAAATCATGTCTATATTCAGTTATATAAGAATATTCGAGAAAGTTTAGGGGAGATCACTCCCGGTTTATTATGTATAGGAATATGAGTAACATAGCAACCAAATACTTTTTTACAACGTTTGTATCCGCAAGACGCACTTTGCCCCCGATGGGTATACTAAATTTGCAATCAAATTACTTATAATTTTACATATTCCATTGCATAATATACAAAATGTCAAGATTAAATTGATTTAATCAATTTAAGTTCTTTGATTGTTGTAAAACGTTTTGCAAAACGTTTCATAGCTGACGAAAAGCCTTGTAATGTGTTAATGTTCCAAGTGAACCAGTTCTATTTATTTGTCGCTGGTTTTTATTACCAATTGATATATAGATTTGTAAATTTCCAATGTAGTTTCACCTCAATCAACTTCGGTGGTCGGTGTATTTGGTGTCAACCCACCCCCCTACCTTTTTGTCGAGTGGCCTCAACTTATATTAATCCACCTGGAAAAAGCTTTGAGGGGCCTAATTCATCAGTTATTAATTCAAGTGGAAACTTCATTACTTTTGTAGAAAATAATTATATTTGGTGTCAGCCTCATCCCAGTAGTCGATAGACGTATCAGTTTTATAATTCTCAATAAAAGCTTTTCCCTTAGGCAAATGTTACAACGTTTTGTTGGTGTAACTCCCCCCCCCCCCCACCCCGTTATAGCTTTTAAACTGTGCACAGATAATAATAAAGATGTTTATTATTACGGTTATTAATACTGCTGAATGAGGCATTTTTTTCTCAATAATTAGCAGATTTACATCATGGTGTCTTCCCCCCCCCCCCCCCTAATCTTGTCGGAATTTGTCAACTTGGCTCTTAGAAGACTATTTAACTCTAATTAATCATTCATTTAACTGGAGCGATCATTGTTTTTCTCTATATATTTTGCCTTGGTGTCACCCCCCTAAATGATGACACCAGTTGCGGTCCGCGCACCCCCCACCCCCTTGCGACGCCTATGCAATCTAATACGACGATATGTATAAGCATTCAAATCTATAAACTGTCGACCATCGTTTGGTTGTTTTAAATGTTGCAAAGCAAACGGGTTACAATAATATGTATTAGACCTTATTAATGTTACTAAAATGTTACTCCTAAAAATAGAAATAAAAGTCATGTTGTCTTTGACAAAATCAATTTCTTTAACTACATTAGCAAATTATATACTATTTTGAAATTTCAAACAAAAAAAATAAAATAAAAATATATTAATTACCACGATTGTTAAAACCTCTTTCTTTTTCTTCAACGAGTCGCTGTTTTGATAGCACTGAAAATATATTTATGTAACACGTTGAAAGCTAGTTAAACTACAATACATTTTCAGCTTTAAAAAATTAAAAACAAAAAAACTCAACGAACCCATTCAATACTTTCTGTGTTATATCGTGTTTCATCTTTTGTAGTATTTGGTACATCATCGCAGATTTTTTAAAAAGGTATTTAGATTTAGTTTAAAATAATAGCTCGACTCTTTGCTTCATGGGGGCTTAGTAACCCAAACCTTACTTTCAAACATTCAATTTTTTTATCTCCCCTGCTGTTTTCTACCCATTGCCATTCTTTAGCTTTTCAATACAATGTTTGCATTGTAATTTGAGCTATATTTCAAGCATACCGTTGCATTAATGGTCTGTCTATTCTGCACATTCTAAGTATATACGTAATGTATCTAGACTAGTAGAACGTGAGATGCCTATAGGTGTCAAAAACAGGGATAAGCTTTGTGGTTCTTAAGCGATTTCATGATATAAAATTTTGAAAATTGGCGAGTTCGAATCCCGGGTTTGAGTCCATAGCAACCATTTTAAGCACGAAGTAAACTGCACAATTTGGTCCCAACACCCACCTCTGTCTTTTCAATTTTTATGAAATGAATAAATTGACGCGTAATAATATTTTAATACAGTATTTTATTATCTTTAATTTCTCAATAATCAATAATTAATTGATAAAGATAATTGAATAGCCCCATTAGAATTATTTGGTACATGTTTAAGTTTCATTGTACCCAAAACTTTTTGACAATTATAAATAAATCTACCTATAAGTTAATAAACGTTTGTAATAAAAACTATTTTCCATACTGTGATCGTTCAGCAATGTGTTGTACTGAACAGTCATCTTCGAAACATTTTCTTTTTCTTCTGTAACTTGCTTTTGTAATAGCTCTGAAAATATAGTTTTTATGTTAACTTTCAATTTCGACAATTCAAACAACACTAAGGACAGCTCCAATAAATAAAATGCAATTTCAATCAAGATTGCAATAATGAAATGGAAGTAAATCAATGCTTTTTAAAGTTCTGAGAATAAAATAATATGTTATATCAGGATTTTAATAGAAAAATGTTTTTAATAATTTCCATATCAGTTTGCCTGAAATTTGTTCTTACCACAATTGACCTTTAGTCTTGCTTCTTTAATCTGACACAAACAATGTGGGTCATTCATATTCACTTCTGTAAAGAATTGACAATTTTAAAACATGTTTTATTAATTTGGTAACTCAATTATTGCTTTTATTTGTAATAATCTACATATATATATATATATATATATATATATATATATATATATATATATATATATATATATATATATATATATATATATATATATAAAATTCTCTACGTGGGAACCATGAGGGACTTTACTTACGCACGCCGTCCCGACCCCTCCCTAGCTCTACAGGCATGCGGAATACCATATTGTTATTACCCTCACCCCCACCAGTCTGGTAGGCAGTGATTCAATATGAATATTTACAACCTACGAAAACCTTGCCTACGAAGGGGTTAATTTTTCAAGATGGCCGCCGTTGTCATAGTTACCAAGATTTTTCCACAAATTGTATATACGCAGTATAGAAAAGTCTTGCAATCGTGCAAAAAAATAAAAAAATCGAGATTTTTGTAAATCTCGATGTTTCACAACTCCCTGAGTCGGAAAAACATAGTTTTGCAATCTTGTGCGTATGTCTGTGTGTGTATGTGTGTGTGTGTGTATGTGTGTGTCTGTAAACACAATAACTTCAGTGCCGTTACAGCTATGTTGATGAAATTTCATATATAAGTATTATATCAAAATCGTAGATCGGCGTCAAATTTTGAGCGATTTCCAATAACCGGAAGTGTATTTTTTTCAACTTTAAATTTTTCAAAAGCATATAACTTAAGTACTATTTTAGATAGATAAATGAAATTTCACAGGTAAGTAAAAGATCTAATTCTCTGCCTTCTGACAAATTTTGAAAAATTTCTGTTGACCGAAAGTAGTAATTTACGCTATTTCCGATTTCTCAGAAAACGCATGTGAATTTATAAAGTACTAATAATTTTCTGCACTATTATGCACATTTTATTTGGCGTTCACTTGGTGTGCAATAGTTTTTTATACGAGATTCTATTCTTTTTTTAAAGTTTAAGTATTTAAAATGGATTAAAAATCATGTCTATGTCCCGAGTTGCCATCCCCTGTTGTTTCATATAAAAATATTCCAGAAAATTTAAGGGAGATCACTCCCAGTTAATTTTTTTGGAAACGCATATGCGGATTAAACTTTAAAAAGCTGTAAAGAAATAATTGTTTAACAAATAGTTGTTATATATTTTTCCTAATTCCTAATCATTTTTTTTCCCAGCAAACACATAAAATATGCACATTTTAAAATGTTAGAAGATATATAATTTAAAATTTACTCAAAATGTGTGTACAAATCTCTCCAAGCTCAACCTGCAGAATAAAACGAAGACATCAAAATTACAACTCATAAGTAAACCTTTATTTAAAAAAAAAAAGTGTTGAGTGGATGCTTTAAGTAAAGTCAAAATCTTAACATGAAATCAATTAACCACTTTCCACGATGTTACTTGTATGAATTATTTCCTTTATCGAATTTTTACAATTTAAGATTGTTTGGCGATTTATAAATAGTCGGTCGATTACCTCTTGTCTTTCGAAGCAATTCATGAAATCAACTGAAATTTTTAAAAATATATAATTTCTTATAAATATATACATACACATACACGCACACGCACACATACACATGCACGCACAAATACACATACACATACACTTACGCATACGCACACCCACACGCATACGCATACGCACAGTAGACAGAGTCATAATAATAGTAATAGTAATAGTAATAGTAATAGTAATAGTAATAGTAATAGTAATAGTAATAGTAATAGTAATAGTAATAGTAATAGTAATAGTAATAGTAATAGTAATAGTAATAGTAATAGTAATAGTAATAGTAATAGTAATAGTAATAGTAATAGTAATAGTAATAGTAATAGTAATAGTAATAGTAATAGTAATAGTAATAGTAATAGTAATAGTAATAGTAATAGTAATAGTAATAGTAATAGTAATAGTAATAGTAATAGTAATAGTAATAGTAATAGTAATAGTAATAGTAATAGTAATAGTAATAGTAATAGTAATAGTAATAGTAATAGTAATAGTAATAGTAATAGTAATAGTAATAGTAATAGTAATAGTAATAGTAATAGTAATAGTAATAGTAATAGTAATAGTAATAGTAATAGTAATAGTAATAGTAATAGTAATAGTAATAGTAATAGTAATAGTAATAGTAATAGTAATAGTAATAGTAATAGTAATAGTAATAGTAATAGTAATAGTAATAGTAATAGTAATAGTAATAGTAATAGTAATAGTAATAGTAATAGTAATAGTAATAGTAATAGTAATAGTAATAGTAATAGTAATAGTAATAGTAATAGTAATAGTAATAGTAATAGTAATAGTAATAGTAATAGTAATAGTAATAGTAATAGTAATAGTAATAGTAATAGTAATAGTAATAGTAATAGTAATAGTAATAGTAATAGTAATAGTAATAGTAATAGTAATAGTAATAGTAATAGTAATAGTAATAGTAATAGTAATAGTAATAGTAATAGTAATAGTAATAGTAATAGTAATAGTAATAGTAATAGTAATAGTAATAGTAATAGTAATAGTAATAGTAATAGTAATAGTAATAGTAATAGTAATAGTAATAGTAATAGTAATAGTAATAGTAATAGTAATAGTAATAGTAATAGTAATAGTAATAGTAATAGTAATAGTAATAGTAATAGTAATAGTAATAGTAATAGTAATAGTAATAGTAATAGTAATAGTAATAGTAATAGTAATAGTAATAGTAATAGTAATAGTAATAGTAATAGTAATAGTAATAGTAATAGTAATAGTAATAGTAATAGTAATAGTAATAGTAATAGTAATAGTAATAGTAATAGTAATAGTAATAGTAATAGTAATAGTAATAGTAATAGTAATAGTAATAGTAATAGTAATAGTAATAGTAATAGTAATAGGAATAGGAATAGGAATAGGAATAGGAATAGGAATAGGAATAGGAATAGGAATAGGAATAGGAATAGTAATAGTAATAGTAATAGTAATAGTAATAGTAATAGTAATAGTAATAGTAATAGTAATAGTAATAGTAATAGTAATAGACATAGACATAGACATAGACATAGACATAGACATAGACATAGACATAGACATAGACATAGACATAGACATAGACATAGACATAGACATAGACATAGACATAGACATAGACATAGACATAGACATAGACATAGACATAGACATAGACATAGACATAGACATAGACATAGACATAGACATAGACATAGACATAGACATAGACATAGACATAGACATAGACATAGACATAGACATAGACATAGACATAGACATAGACATAGACATAGACATAGACATAGACATAGACATAGACATAGACATAGACATAGACATAGACATAGACATAGACATAGACATAGACATAGACATAGACATAGACATAGACATAGACATAGACATAGACATAGACATAGACATAGACATAGACATAGACATAGACATAGACATAGACATAGACATAGACATAGACATAGACATAGACATAGACATAGACATAGACATAGACATAGACATAGACATAGACATAGACATAGACATAGACATAGACATAGACATAGACATAGACATAGACATAGACATAGACATAGACATAGACATAGACATAGACATAGACATAGACATAGACATAGACATAGACATAGACATAGACATAGACATAGACATAGACATAGACATAGACATAGACATAGACATAGACATAGACATAGACATAGACATAGACATAGACATAGACATAGACATAGACATAGACATAGACATAGACATAGACATAGACATAGACATAGACATAGACATAGACATAGACATAGACATAGACATAGGCATAGGCATAGGCATAGGCATAGGCATAGGCATAGGCATAGGCATAGACATAGACATAGAAAATAGACATAGACATAGACATAGACATAGACATAGACATAGACATAGACATAGACATAGACATAGACATAGACATAGACATAGACATAGACATAGACATAGACATAGACATAGACATAGACATAGACATAGACATAGACATAGACATAGACATAGACATAGACATAGACATAGACATAGACATAGACATAGACATAGACATAGACATAGACATAGACATAGACATAGACATAGACATAGACATAGACATAGACATAGACATAGACATAGACATAGACATAGACATAGACATAGACATAGACATAGACATAGACATAGACATAGACATAGACATAGACATAGACATAGACATAGACATAGACATAGGCATAGGCATAGGCATAGGCATAGGCATAGGCATAGGCATAGACATAGACATAGAAAATAGACATAGACATAGACATAGACATAGACATAGACATAGACATAGACATAGACATAGACATAGACATAGACATAGACATAGACATAGACATAGACATAGACATAGACATAGACATAGACATAGACATAGACATAGACATAGACATAGACATAGACATAAGCATAGACAATAGACATAGACATAGGACATAGACATAGACATAGACATAAGGACATAGACAAATAGACATAGACATAGACAATAGAACATAGGACATAGACATAGACCTAGACATAGACATAGACATAGACATAGACATAGACATAGACATAGACATGCTAGACATATGACA